TCCTGGTACATAATCAAACTTTTTGTGTCCAGTCGCCAGTAATGTTTCTTTCTCTGAAAAATTTACAACATTTGAGAAAAAATATGACCGTCGAAAAAATCACAAAAAGGAAAGGAAAAAGAGAGAAGTCCTACCATATTCATTTGGTTCGTATAATGCACCACCCAGCCTTCTTTCAACACTTTGTTATTTTTTCGTTTGGTCTGCTTTTTGGACATCACAACTCGCATAAGTGGAATGTTCTGAAAAATCAAAATTATTGCGGGACCAAGAAAACAAAAAAAAATTTTTATCTCATTACCTGGCTTTCAGCTGTCATCACATCGTCGTCCGGACTCGTTTGACCATTGAAATCTTCAGAACTATGCAACGGTGCACTTGGTGTATTCTGCGCTTTCTTATGAGTCCGTAGTTGCGTATTCTCATCACCTTGCTCTTCCGTGGCACCTAAAATAACGTTCATTTTTTCGAGACGTTGTGATATTGCAATTACACCGGGTAAAATGTGATACACCACTAACTACCATAACCGAGGGATGGTGTTGTGGAGAATGAGTGCTAGGAGATCTAAGGGGATAAGAGTACAAGTGGGCGCAGGTGCGAATTCTACAGCGTTATCCAATTGCTACATATGGTCGTAGAACACCACACACATAGGCTTAAACATTACTTTTTCTCGTAAATATTTTTTTCTATCAAGAACCCTAAGCGATCATGTTTCATGCACCCTCAAGAATTCTTAGAATTACCCACGACATTATGCTTAGTGCTCTCCACTAGATCAGTAAAGTAGTATTCGCATGGAAATCAATGAAGTATTTTTCCAAAACAAAATTCAATCCGCTATGGCTTTTCTCTAAAAAGGTGTGGATGTCAAGCGAGAAAGCTTATTTGGTCATTTCAAATGAGTACTAACATTTGTGGTTTACGAAAGGCGAGATAAGATCACTAAACTAATTATAAGATGAAAAATGGTTCTTAATTTATTTCTCAAAGTAGAAGAGTATTACCGGTGTGTTTTTTTGAAAGGCAACTTTTTTTGGAATATACATAAG